TTTGAGTGAATTACTTTGTATGTACAAGCAATGTATATGAGTTGTTATAAATATGGATAGCAAACTTTAGAAGTATATGAGTTGTTATAAATATAGATGTCCATTATTTGAATTGAGTGAATTACTTTATGTCTGTACAAACAATGACATCATGCATGTATAAGCAATGTCATTACATAAACATGATATCATCCCCTCAAACCAAATAATAAACATCCATATTTACAATTTTAGTATGTTGTATTGTATTTTATACTTATCTTGTTTCTCCCACGTTTTTTGTGCAGCGGATGTGGGATATGAAACGTATACAAACAGCAAAGTGTACACGGTATCGCCAAAAGCTAATTGGAACTTCAATTTCAGAAATAAAAGGGGATAATATATATACAAGTGACAAACTAAAATGGCTGTTTTGACGTTTTTGAAACCTTGTGTGAAAATTAAAAAATGAAGCCCCAAGGCAAATTGAGGGAAAAGAATCTCAAAAGCACAAACAAGCTGGCATGAGGAGAGGTCTAAAATTAAAATGGACAACTAAAGCACTGTTACAACATCGGCTTCCAAGAGGGACTGATTGGTATTGCTTAATATAGGTTGGGCCATGAAAATTTAAAACTAGGATTTGGTGGGTTGTGCCAGGCCCAAGCAGTAGTGCAATGCTTGGACGACACACAAGAGCTCCAGTAGCAAGCTACTGTATTGAGCTCTCACCCCAAAAAAATTAATTTAATATCGTGTGAACCATTGGTCCACGTATCAGATATTAAACTGATAAGAACAGATACTACACTTGATCTTAGCCAAAAGGCCGAGAAAGGTATGCCTATATCAATATTGGGCATTCGTTTTTATATGCATCTTCGTTCTTCTATTTTCTTCCGTGGTCGATGTGGGATTCTAATGCACTATTTCGAAGTACTCTTTCTGTCCTCGTACTTCAACCCAAGTTCACCTAAAGCCTTTCCGCAGCTCCCTCAAAGCATACACAGAAAAGCAAATGCATTAAGCTAATAAGATAAAAAAATACAAAAAAAAATTAGTGAAAGTACATAACTGAAATGACAGCTCTTGGGAAATATTTGTTAATGGATGTTTGAGATGATGGCTTTGAGCTTCTTTTGCAATGCTTCAATTTCTCCTCACGACCAACACCAAGGTCTCTCCTCTCTCTCTCTCTCTCTCTCTCTCTCTCTCTCTCTCGCTCCCTCCCTCTCTCTCTAACGGTTAGGTTTTGTGCTAAAATTTCAGCCAAATTGAAGGTTACAAGCAGCAAAGGCCTTGAAGAAGTGAAGAATCTCATAAGAACTGTTGGGATTCCATAAAAAACCTCCTCTCCAGCAAAATCTCTTGAAAATGGCAAATGGGTCAAGCTCATCTCCTACGCAAGCTTCGAGGATGTGGTTGATATCAGGAACCGTTCTCTGGTTTACACTCTTGCAGGAGGTAATTAACTAAAATTTAACTGATTTTATGCTGACTAAGTGAGATTAGATAGTGGATTAAATTGATGTTAATTGCCTCACAACCGATTGGTTGCGATTGGTTGCAGTTGATTGCAGACTGCGCAGCAGATGGGTCAGTGGTGAGTGCAGTGAACGAGGGGATTGATGCAGCAGTTGGATTTTCAGTGGAATCACAACACGGCGTCGCTTGTATCAAGGATTATCCAGAGCATCTCCTTCAGGCACTTAAGAGGCCGTTTCTTCGGTTGGGAACTGTCAAGTTTTCCAATAAATACTTGGGTGATAGGCTACGTTTGGCATCTAGGTTGGGCTGTAAAAGACTAAACTAGGATTTGGTGGGTTGTGCCCGGCCCAAGCAGTAGTGCAACACTTGGACGACACACGAGAGCTCCAGTAGCAAGCTACCGTAATGAACCCTCACCCTAAAAAAATTAATTTAATATCGTGTGAACCATTGGTCCACGTATCAGATATTAAACTGATAAGAACAGATACTACACTTGATCTTAGCCAAAAGGCCGAGAAAGGTATGCTTATGTCAATATTGGGCATTTATTTTTATATGCATCTTCGTTCTTCTACTTTCTTCCGTGGTCGATGTGGGATTTTAACGCACTATTTCAAAGTACTCTTTCTGTCCTCGTACTTCAACCCAAGTTCACCTAAAGTCTCTCCGCAGCTCCCTCAAAGTATACACAAAAATGCAAATGCATTAAAGCTAATAAGATAAAAAAAATAGAAAAAAAATTAGTGAAAGTACTCTTGGGAAATATCCGTTAATGGATGTTTGAGATGATGGCTTTGAGCTTCTTCTGCAATGCTTCAACGCTTCAATTTCTCCTCACGACCAACACCAAGGTCTCTCCTCTCTCTCTCTCTCTCTCTCTCTCTCTCTCTCTCTCTCTAACGGTTAAGTTTTGTGCTAAAATTTCAGCCAAATTGAAGGTTACAAGCAGCAAAGGCCTTGAAGAAGTGAAGAATCTCATAAGAACTGTTGGGATTCCATAAAAAACCTCCTCTCCAGCAAAATCTCTCGAAAATGGCAAATGGGTCAAGCTCATCCGCGGCGCAAGCTTCGAGGATGTGGTTGATATCAGGAACCGTTCTCTGGTTTACACTCTTGCAGGAGGTAATTAACTAAAATTTAACTGATTTTATGCTGACTAAGTGAGATTAGATAGTGGATTAAATTGATGTTAATTGCTTCACAACCGATTGGTTGCGATTGGTTGCAGTTGATTGCATAGACTGTGCAGCAGATGTGTCAGTGGTGAGTGCAGTGAACGAGGGGATTGATGCAGCAGTTGGGATTTTCAGTGGAATCACAACACGGCGTCGCTTGTATCAAGGATTATCCAGAGCACCTCCTTCAGGCACTTAAGAGAGGCCGCTTCTTTGGTTGCGAACTGTCAAATTTTCCAATAAATACTTGGGTAATAGGCTACGTTCGGCTTCTAGGTTGGGCTGTAAGAGACTAAACTATGATTTGGTGGGTTGTGCCAGGCCCGAGCAGTAGTGCAACGCTTAGCAAGCTATTGTAACGAGCCCTTATTCTAAAAAAATTAATTTAATATCATAGAGATCACTGCCTTACGTATCAGATATTAAATTAATAAGAACAGATACTACACTTGATCTTAGCCAAAAGCACAAGAAAGGTACGATTATTTCACTGTTGGGCTTCCATTTTTCTACAAATTAACTCTCCTAATTTAATAAGCTAGCTGATGTGGGACTGTTATACTTTTTTGCAGTGTTGTTTCTAACAATTACATCTTATCACTCTCAGGCCTACAATACCAAATCTTATCACCAAAATCCAGAGATTAAAATAAAACTTAACACTACTAGGAAACTAAGCTATACACTAGGATCTCTACTCTTTAGGATGACTCAAGCTAAGAATACTGAACAAAGAGGGTTAAACAAACAAACTGTCTTTAACGATACTTCAATATCTTACAATGCTTGGTGAACCAAGCATGAATGCTCAACCGAGTATATAGGTAAGGGAGGAAGTCTACAGAACCTTATCTAGGATTAAGAGACATTATATTCTTTTGTCTCTTTCCTACAATAATGAAAGGGAATCTCTCTTTACAACTCATTATACTTTACTTTATTCACACTCCAGGAGGATCCCCGTCGGAATCGTGAGGATTCTGGAAATCCTCCAATCACATTCGTTTATCGTATATCGTGCGATCAGAAATTATTGTAAATTTTTTATTTAAAATTGAATATAAATAGTACCTAACAAAAATTAACCGCACAATGTACGATGATCGGATGTTATGCCATGAGTTGTCATCATATTCCACCACGCTTCCACATGCATTAGTCCCATCCATCATTGGGCCAGTACTCGTCATCCAGCTCTTCCGAATCATCATCATACCCATGCCATTGGTCTTGTTCTTCCCAGTGCAAGAGTTGTAGTTGAGATCAACTCGTCCTCTTTCTGGCCGCATCTTGGAGATCGGTACTTCTTCTCCATGGCTCGATTCGAACGACAGAGCTCGAAACAAGAAGCTAGATGGGTAAGTGGAATCTGAAAAGTAACGAATTGATGCTTCTAACTCACTGGAGAGATTGCAGAATGCTATGGTTGAAACATGCCGCATGATATCATACCATTCCAATCTGATGCAATCTAACATCTTTAGGGGATCATTTGGTAGTAAAGTTAACAACAGGAGAGTAAAATTTGTATCCCATTCCACGTTTGGTGACATTAATATATTTTTCGTTTTCATGATTGAGTAATTACTCGAGCCAAATTATTGGGATAACTTCTCCCATGTGAGAAATCGACACCAACGTTCGCGAAAGAACCATATGCCTCGTCTCGCTCTCTACATCCCAAGTCCCGACGCCGTATGTGACCTTGTCTCGCAACGTTAATTACCATGACTTCGTTTTGCGACATGGTCCCTGACCTCGTCTCTTAGGACTGCCAAGGTATTTTGTTTTGCGTTTTGCTTTAAAACGCAAAGGCACAACACAAATAAATTAAATCAACTCGTGTGTTGCTCAAAAAATACTAAAAAAACAAAAACAAAATAGAAACGAAGGAAGGTATTTTGTAGTCATCTATTCTCCAAAGTTAATTTTGGTTGTGCTCAATCAACTTATTTGTTGAATTTTTGTAGAGAGATCACATTGTGTTATTTCTCTAATTGGAATAATGCTCTTGAATCGCTGAAACGATCTGGAGTGAATTGCACTATAGAATAATATTATGTAGTCCACAGAGAGGTGTCAAGTACCGCTCTTGCTCGCGCAACCACAGAGGAGGCAAGTCAAATCATCGATCACCCACGTGTCTCCTAGTGAGGTTTGCTCTGATTGGGAGGATGTCATTACAAATTCTCCATGCGCAAACCGTAACTTCGGGAAGAACACGAAAGCTTGCATATTCCTGAATCCGAAACTCCGTCATCCGTTCTGTTCCAACACACAGCATTTAACGGGGTTTGCAGCAGCAAGCGAATAATGGTTGGGCTGGGCCGTCAAAATTTAAACTTCGGTTTGGTGGGGTGTGCCAGGCCTAAGCAATAGTGCAACACTTAAGCAACACGTAAGAGTTCCAATAGCAAGCTATTGCGGTGAACCCTTTCCCTTAAAAAATTAATTTAATATCGTGTGAATCATTGATTCACGTATCAGATATTAAACTGATAAGAACAGATACTACACTTGATCTTAGCCAAAAGGCCGAGAAAGGTATGCTTATTTTACTGTTGGGCTTTCGTTTTTATCCCACATCTTAACTCTCCTACTTCTTTAGATAGCCGATGTGGGACTCCCCCATAGTGTCTTGCAGCGCTGTTTCTAACTTTGCAGTCTAACACAATTACTTTTACCACTCTCAGGCCTACAAAACTACATCTTGTCATCAGCAACCAGGAATATAACATCACATGGGATGGGATTGATCGATGAGATCAACCAGTCCTCTTTCTGGCTGCACCATCTTTGAGTCTCCTCCGTGGCTCGGTTTGAACGATAGAGCTGGAAACAAGAAACCAAATGAGGAAGCCGGATCTGCAAAAGCTTTCTGTTCCTTGAAAAATTTATTCTTCTAACACGTTGAAGAGATTGCTGAAACATGCCGGAGCCGTTTCAATCTGCTGTAGTTTAATTTGTTTAAGAAAGTTGATGTTTTGCTAAGAGCAAATTGCTCTAGCTAGAAAATGCTAAGGCACAGACACATTAAGGCAATCAACTATGTTCTTTTCCCTGAATAAAACAACTGAAATAATAAAAGCTGAAATAGAAAAACCTCTAATCCAACCTTTTCCATGTTGGTCAAAGGAAGGGATACTGTGAATCCACACGTGGGAAGAAGAACGTCGTTACAAGAGCGTCGGTAATCAAAATTGTTTCTCAAAAAATATGTTTGATGCTGATACTAAGAATCCATGGTGAATTATAATATCTCAAATAACTGTATAAATATGTCAAAATATAGAGCATGTCACTAATAGAACCGATAATGATTTTCAAATTTGTTTACTGTTATGTGTAAAGAGCTTGTAACAATCCATCTCTGAAAGTCATACCTTGAGAAGGGAGAAATCTAAAAAAGCAAGGGGAGAGAAGCCAGCACAAGAGGAACCCCATCACCATGTTGCTTAGCAAACACATAAAATTAAAAAGAAAATAGGAAAAATAGTCCCCACCATATATAGCTACTTGTTCTTGTGCTGACTTTGAGGATCGATGAAACCATTCATTTGCCTTCCTCGGTTACCCGTATTGCAAATAGTTTATGCTTATTTCACACACCAAAAACAACTATGTGGTGTAAGATATTACGCATTGATTGATAAGACTTCCAAATTTGACTTATAAGGTTTGACTTGGACCAAAATTTGAAATAAGTTTTTCTTGTCATAAGGAATAAAGTTTTATCCCAAATATGAAAATTATTGAACTGAAAATCAGTACTAGTAATCACATATACTAAGAAATTTGTTTATCTAAAAACATGGGCCCAAGAAATAAAGTTAAAGGAAGTCACCAACCACTTAATACTCTAATTAGGAAGGAAGTTAAGATGAAGAAATTTATGAGAAAAGGATGGATTTAGGTGAAACGGAAAAGAAATACCCCCATGCCATGCCTTGCCCAGCTATTGGGAGGGCAGTACCCCCATGACTTTCCTCTTTGTTCTATGCATTGGCATCCCAAGGCTTCATGGATGAAGAGTACAATCTATGAATTATGTTTTGAGAACAAAAAGATCGACCCCAACTATGCTGAAATAAACAACATATATTTATGGGATTGGCTAATTGTGCAATATGCGAACATTAAAAATATATAGCACGCCATGGTTGTTTACCATGTATGGATTTTAAAGGCTACCCTTCTCAATAAATCCTTATTGAATGCTTTGCACGACTGGTAGAATCAGTCCAAAACCTCACAGAAATGCATTGGTCAATGATGATGGGCTGCAATATCATACACAATATGTATTTTATATCATATACTATATGCTTTAAGTATAGAAACGAGGGGTAGTAGTGTAGAAAAACTTACATTAAACGAATTCATAGTTATTATGGTGTTCTGTTCTAATTAAACAATAACATGTACAACTTTTTGAACACATACTATATATTATTGAAATCAGAACGTTACATGACAGTAAATTCGCTTTATGTAAATTGCTCTTGCAATAATGGATGTGAAGTGTGAACTATTTGATTTATATATTCATGCTTAGCGTAGAGGAATGGATATAACGATGATTTCACTTGAGACAAGTGAGGGAACGACAATTGGGAAGTCAACTCAAGAAAATAATGAGTACAAGAATATGTATATGTGCAAGTGGGAGGAGGATTCTTTACCCTCTTATTCACATCATCTTCCATCTCCTTATCTCACACATTACTTTTTGTCTTATTATCTCTATAAAAAAATCAATATAAGATGTTGATGTGGCTTAATCGTGACCGTTCAAATAGGAGGGCTTAGAAGAGTAAAGAGATTAGGAGGGTAAAGAATCCTCCTCCGTGCAAATGACCCCTCTACTACAATAGTAGAGATGAATGTTGCTCTTGTACTACAACATGTGTTTAAATCCTGTTAACTTCCTATCTAATATCTAATCTAATAAATCTATCGTTTGAGAAAAAAGAAGAAAAAAAAAAGAATATGTACGTGTATATCAATCACACACGGTCGACTCAAAACTCAAATTGTTTCTCATATTTGTGTAGCTGAGCAATCATTGGGAAACACTGTAAGGCATAGAGCTAGGGGATTGGAAAGAGATCCTCTCCAGATCTCTCATTCTAAAGTCGAAGAATTAAGTGATTCGAGCTTTTGAAATTTGATCAAATGGTTAAAAACAGAGAAGTTAGTAAAAAATTTTAAAAGCTATAATAAATTTTAGCTATTTGATCAAATTTCAAAAGCCCGGATCACTTGATCCTTGGATTTTGAAGGGAGAGATCTGGAGATGATCTCTTTCCTAGGGGATTAGGATTCATTCATTTACAGTGTTTACTAATTTATAACCACAATAAAAAATAATAATTGGATCCAAATTATGATGTATTTTTCGACAAAAAAAATTTACAATGTATTTACTAATGAGTAAATCAAAACATAGATAGAGCCCGCACCTAAGAAGGAATTCAACTCCTCATTTTGGAGGAATTAGATTGTTTGTAAGGAGATGTTATTCTTATTCGAGAGAACAAAGAATAAGGGATGAAATATTTTTACGTAACCTCGCCTAATTCAAAATGTTCAAGTTAACTTATAAAATAGTAGAATAAAGCTTACATTTATTCCCATTCTGACCCAATTTTTTAATTGAAGAGAAAACACTTTGAACGAGTGTTGCAAACACAAATGAATATAAATAGTTCGAAGACAGATTGTTTCTATTGATGCACAAATCAGATTAATCCTGGACCACAATATATCGTTGTGTTCTTGTGTGTGTAATTTACTATCAGATCTAAATTGGTCCAAAATCAATCCGATTTTGTGCAACAACAGTTTCCATTTCTTACTACAACTAACTATAGTTTTTGTTGAAAAAGGGCATTTTAGGATAATAAACAACGTATTAGACAATAGAGTGAGAAAGAGAGAGAGTTAGGTAGAAACCGTGGAATGCTTTTCTGGACATTGGTATAGATGTGGTAGGCCGAAATACCCTTCATTTTAAGGGAAATGAATCAACCATGTTGGATATATTGGTTGTTTTCTTGTCGCTTTTATAATTGAGTGTTATAATGGACTAATCTAAATTAATGAAAATACCAAATGTTTAAAAGTCAAATGAATGAACGTCGTCAAGGGTCCACTAATAAGTAATTATACGATTTTTTAATATATAAAATAAATAAATACGATTGATACATGGATTTTAGTTCCAAATACATATTTTTTGGTAAGTTTTTGTTTGATTTCTTAAAATAAACTATTATTAGCACTGTAAAAATTTCATTTGACACTTTTTATAAGTGTATTTTTTCTTCTTCTAATTATAGAAAGTTTGAAGTGCAAAATAAGATTTTTGGAGTGCTAATAGTCCAAAGACCACCCGGAGTCTAAGAAATATACATATAAAGGTCTTTCAATGATCCTTTGAAGTTTGATACGGGTCTTGTTGTGCTATTAAGTATTTGACGAAATGTTTTTCGCAGGCTGTGTTGACAACACTCAACAAATTCTAGCAATATCACTCATTAGATTTGCTTCGGCATATGTCAATATCATTTGACATGTGCGGAATTTAGTTTGGCTAACGACAACAAATCCACCAAGTATTCAATGAAATGTCTCAGTGAATACATTGAATTTTTTTTTTTTTTGCGCGCTTTGTTTCTATTTAAAAAACTTGAACCTTTAACACTAGGATCCCCCAAAATTCGAATTCTGGATTCGCCACTGTATTTGCATTGATGTCAATTCGGCTTAGTTTACGAACCTGCAATGATATAATCAAATCTTGATGTTGAAATCTGACTACAATGACTACGATTTGTTATGTTAAAAAAAAAAAAAAAATTAAAAACATATGTTGTGTGTATATATGTTTATCTATGTGTATGTGATTGATATTTGTTTTAAATGCTGAAGTAACAATAACATTTCACATGAAAGCAACATGATCACTCCTTAGCTTCTCGGCGAACTATATTTTGACAATTTTTAAAAAATTTGAGCTAAATATTTGAGAGATTTTTGCATACAACCGTATATATATTCACAAAGCTCGATAACCAAATATTTTAGCAAAATACTCGTGTTGTTCAACTGAAAATGAATTTACAAACTCATATATGAAGTATATAAAATTGCAAATAAATAACAAGTTATCAGTGAGGACTTACCTAATATATTGTGTGGTTTGGGGAATTTAAATTTACCCTAAAAGAAAGCATGAGATATCAAAGTCCATGTTGAGGAAAAAGATGGCAACTCCAAAAAAATAAAATAGACATATATTTAGCTAAGTTTATTAGAGTAGTATGCTCGATCTTTTGTGCTCAATTTTGAATCTTTTTTTTTCTTTTTAATTTAAATAAATTTAATGTAACATTCTTTATTTTGCTTAAACAACTAAATAAAATTAAAATAGAAGAAGAGGGGGGAAACGGCAGTTGACTATTGTTGACCAATTGGAATCGGCCACTTTCTTTGAACATGTGCAAAGCTACCAAAATAAAAATTGTAATACCCTTCAAGGAGTAG